TCATTTAATACTAATTATAAATGAGCTATCGTTTTTGGTTTTTTTTATTATTGATTTTTAAAATGTTTTTGATTGTCATTTTCCATATTTCATTACCGATACATTAACGGCACATAATTAATCACAGTTTCATATAATTAGCAGGGAGCTGGAATTGTTCTGAACCTTACAGGGATTGTTGATGTACAGTGAAGTACATCCAATGGTCACACATCTTCTCTAAGAAAATAGCAAAAAAGAATCAATCTATTCATGTAATAATACGCCTTTGAACAAGTGACACAAACCACCAGTACAGTTGTGCATCAGGTTATATGCAGTAACAAGGGTAAATACAAGATGAAGCGCTAACGTCGACTGGGGGCTCACTTCCATTATAACGCTTGGATCTTACTATTTGTTTGATAGTAATAGGTGGTAGGCTACACCTATGAAACAGAGACGTACAGCGCCACCAGCAGTAGTTCATCCTTTATATTTTTATATGTTGAATTTTTTAGATACGTTTGTCAAATTCAGTCCCATAATAATAATTATTAATTATTAATTTATTTGGATATGCACTTTTTAATCAGTGGCACTCAACCACAAGGCTGGTGCATCCATAACAAGAAAAAATATTTAAAAAATATAAAAATTACAATAAAAAAGAAAGACATCAAAACAACAAGATAATAAAATCAGCTAAAACTAAAACATAGAGAAAATAGTTTTTATATTTTCTCTATGACAAAAAGAACATCATCAGTCTCTAGATGACAGTCTCCTGCAAAAGTAGGAAGCTTTCGAATTGTGCGGCGACGCTGGAACGGAATCACTCATGCGTGACCGTCCTACCTGGCGTCGTCCTACGTTCTCTGCATACGTAGATTTGGCCAAATTGCGTTCCAGAATCTACTCTACGAGGTGACCTTAACGTTCTCGCATGCGCAGATGACTTTTAGTGACGTCATTACGTTCTACGCCCTACCGTCGTCGTGCAATCGAAAGCATCCTAGTCGTACGGAAAACGGAACGTCCACCAGAGACCCTTGGCCACTTATAACGTCATCATTATATGCCATGTTTCAAGATTCAAAATAGGCCTTACGGAAAATTTGAGATGTACAGAATAGTTATAATAATTATAATTATAATGATGCCATGTTATTCGTGATTACAGTATAGGGGCCTATACAATTACTAATTTATTTTTTTTAGCGATTTGTTTATTTTTGTGAGTACTGAATTTTAAAAGTTCCGTTCAATTCAATACTCAAACCAATATTCGCAAACCCATTGGTGGTGCGAAACTGCCGAACGGTACGCTACGGTACCTCTAATCTACTTGCGTGAGTGTAGAAAGGTACGCGTTTACGTTGACGAGGGGTTTTGTTTCTACGTCAGACCTATTTAGCGGTCTATCGGATGCAAACTGCACTTTCATTTTCTAGCAATATACTCTATTTATGTTATAGCAATGTTTAAATTTTATTTAAAACACCGACGATAATTTGTGTAATTTTCTGTGATTAAATTTGTATTTACACACTTTAGCACATCCCGATGTTTACTAATATAATATTAACATGTTATTTCTCGGCCAATGATATTGTGCTACTACAGTATTATATTCGATTTATTCAAAATCTGAATCAACAAATCCTCAATGGCCCAATTGGTTAACCTGATTAAAGGCGTCTGCATATACAGCAGAAGGTCCCGGGTTCGAATCCCTGTTGGGGGAGCTTTTATACGCACTTGCAAAAGGGGGTAGCTGACTAAACTGACCCTGACCAGTTGTATTGCTTGACACTTTATATTTTTATCTTGGCCGAATAAATGAATAAAACTGGTATATAATCTCGGGTTATGGCCATTCTAAAATCGTGTAGGCCTAAATATAACTCTCCAATATTACTGGAGCAACCACTGGTCTTCGCCGTAAGTCCCATTTTCACTCGCTAAATCATAGGCAATAGGCCTAATGTTTTATTCGTATTCGTATAGGCCTATATTATATCTCTAATCATAAAACATATTATGTACTAAACTACTACTAACTTTTTTAAAGAATGTTAATGTAGTGTGGTTAAGTACAGTCATGGAGCTATAAGCTCCATGGTAAAGTAGACTAAAGACTCGTCCATTGCTCTGCCTACAACTTTGAATCATGTACCTCAAAGTGTCGAACTATTGGGCCTTCGTGCACAAGAATTTTGTCTTAAAATGGTTTTAAAAAGTAGAAAACCCCAACATACTTTTTTAGCGATGATTCACACAATACCCACCATCAAAACATCAAGGATATGTCCAGACCGCAAGGACTTAGCGCACACCTTTAATGAATATTCATAATCAGTTTACTAGATTGCCTTTTATGGAATGCAACTGAGCGGTTGTCTTAAGCAGTCCGTAAGTTACGGCACGGCAGTATAATATTCTTCAGTTCTTTAGGTAAACATGAATGTCTTTATATAGTTTTCAAATTCGGTTTTTGCCGTTATATATTCAAATAATAAGCTGCTCATAAGCTTCGCAATTTTTATCATAATGAGTTGGGGTGCAAGAATTTCTCAAATTATTGATTTATTTATATTTATTTATTTATTTATTTATTTATTTATTTATTTATTATTATTTAGGCACATTGGACAAGGATTTGTAACAGTGAGCAACCAAGACAACAATCTACCCTGTGATTGGAAGGCAACAAGCATCTTATTCACCAAGCTATGCAGCTCTATTTCTTTGGATACGCCTGTATTTACTGTACATTGCAAGCGCTTTTGGTTCTCATTACCCTGTTGTAACAATTCACTCAACAGGTGAAATGGTTTGAATTTTTGCTCAGCGTGATTAGGTTTATCCACAGGTATCACAATTTATATGTGCAATTTATATGTGGAAAAACAAGCAGAAATGACCTGTAATGAATGGGTGTGTCTTATCGCCGTTGACTAATGCGCATGCGTTACCGGAAAGTAGGCCTACGTTTAGTGTAGTGATTGATACAGTATTGTATAGCGTATGTCGTATAGTAACTCTCACACATTAATTTTCTGTTTATAAATTCACATTAAGAGTATTTTAATCTTGTGCCCGTATTCGTTAACCTCAAGCACTCGGGGCACACCACACTATCGTGTGACTGGCTGTCATCAGCGCGGTATTGTTCACAAATTCGTTGACTGCAGCACTTCCAGTAATAACGCGATGTTACGTAATCGTAACTTTTTCAATGGATCGGTGTTCAGTTATAGTTATTAAAACGGCATGAATATGAATGTTTTTTCGAATTGCTCATTATTCATCGGTAACTGCGCATGCTCTTCAGAAGAGTTACCGTATTTGGCTTGGTGGTTCACATCAATCCAGCTTTGAATCAACAAAACAGAACCTTGTTTGCATCCGATGACGTCATCAACAGTTCAAATTCCGTCCTAATATTATTAAAATGAGAGGTATGTGGTTAATAAAAGAAAGTGTCCAAGGACAAAATACACGGGACCATGTATTATAATAATCTGTGATGTCAAGAACATAAATATTATAGGCCTATAAGTTTTATTTTAGTGTTAGAGTCTCGTCTGCGGCGTCCTGTACCGGTATCGAAATACCCAACCTTCTGTGATATATGCCTATTTCAATATCAAAAGAATTGAACAGAGTATTATAGTCTTATGCCTGACATACTGCATGCAACATTTATTCTGAATATTGAACTTATGATAAAATAATTGTATTCTTTTAATTGCATCATATCACAGCCGATCTGAATTTTATAGACAAAAACTGCACCAGGCATGAGCGTATAAAAACTGATAATTTCATCACGAAGACATTAAACAGTATTCACATCGGATCATCCGCAACCAAGTTCGGACTGCGTTTCGTGCGCTGAACGCCATCGTCCCTATCTTCATTGATTCGATTTTCTGATCGGTTCGGTAGGCCTTCCGATCAGAAAATTCGCATTCGGTGCGAATGCAGGTTTAGATAGGCTACGCCTATGTAATGTTACGGATTATGAAATTTTGAATCGTTTAAATATAAGTAGGCCTAATACAGTATAAGCCTACCTCTCAATCACATTGTCCAAGTGGGGAGGGGCTCGGAGCTCCGATTGCAGGCCATTCGCTTTCGGGTGTACCCCATCCACTGTCCAAACTCAGATGGTCCCGACGCCATCACTGAATCTTTTCCATCAATTTGTAAACACTTCATCTATAGGTCACATGAAATTTAATCAGTATAAACACACCTTACAAATTAAAATTTATAGGCCGATAAGGCCAACCAGCAAACTCGTTATAACTATGTAACATTTTATCAATACTTATTGCTTGCTGGACGATTTGAACTATTCAAGTAGGAGTTATTTGCCTTTATCATGATTGTGACTTTTGACATACTACAGTATATATTGCAATTTCTGGAAACCGATAAGAATAGATAAAGCTCTATTTACTATAAATTATTGTATTGGATATTAGATTATGATGTTTGTCCACCTTATTAAATATCTGACGTCACAATTGACACAGGCTTATGTCACATGGACTATAGACGGTCAAACACACCCTCTTCTGTGCATGCTCAATCTTTTTAAAAATTGTTCCCTGTAATAATCCTAATGTACAGTATTCTGCTTGTTGTCTCGGGTTCCACACTAAAAAAACAAGTACAGTAATACAAATTTATTGAAGCTGCGCTTTCGTAACAGTGGCACCTCATCACAGCTCTATTACTATTACAAAACATTAAACAGATCAAGATCATTTAAAAAGCAAGATTTGCTGGATAAATGTATCTCATTCGAGCATCTTACTTAAAACACAACTATAACATGTAACACAGTAAACTGACTGTTAATATAAAACAGTACCGTATACTATAATATTATAACATAGTAATAATAATAATAATATACTGTATTATATATACTTTAATAATAAAATGATAATATATAGAATAATTAAGGTTAAGTAGAAACGTAAAAGCTAATTTTATGCAATCACTTACTAGCTAGTTTTTACAAGAATTAAATAATTTAATTAAAGTATGAAGTTTTCAAATTCATTACCAATTAAATAATAGGCTTTAATAAATTCGTACTGACCTAGTATTAAACGCAATATTGATTTATATGTGAATTAATATAGATTTATCCTTACCATAAACAACAAACATTTCATTTTTGTAAACAGGATCTTTTAGAATAAAGGTTCCAGTCATCATCATAGGCACAACAAAGAAACATTTATGACATGCATGGATTGAAGACAATCGATGAAAATTGCAAGAAATTCATAGAAACGATTCATTTTATTGTTTTATCCATAATTTTTCCTATTGAATTTTAATTGAAAAATTATGTTCACTTCGCTTTATGCTGTACGTACCTGAATTGGATTTATATTCACCACTCTACCTAGAATAATAGAATTTCGTTATCATAAATAATTTTTTTCATAAATAAGATACCTTTATATTTACAATTTTAGAATTCCAAATGCATTCTTAGATATATTTTATAACATTCCCAATACGATGCTGTAGCCACTTAAGGTAATAATATTAACCTTTAATACTAGGCCTATCTGGTGACTGAATTGTTTTATTTATATCTGTCTCTTATACACATCTAGTCGTGTAGCATAGCTCTCAACGAATGTAGTCCTGTAAATAAATGAATAAAGAAATTGTGTAATAAAATGCCTCTGGCGGGACTCGAACCTGCGATCTCTCGCTGTCAAGGCGAGTGTCAAAACCATTAGACCACAGAGGCTTCATGGTTGAACAGATTCAAATACCACCAGATACACTCCATTACACAATAGATACGGCTAGAAACAAATAATTGCATATAATATAAATCAAGTTAAACTATATATTAATCATCAAAGAACGGTAAATACAGTGTCCGAATAAAGGACATAATAATACATCGTGTAGCATAGCTCTCAAATAAATGAATAAATGCAAATAGTTGCATATAATATAAATCAAGATAGCCGTATGTATGTCTATCTTGATTTATATTATATATATATATATATATATATATATATATATATATATATTGCAGCCATATAATAATAATAATAATAATAATAATAATAATAATAATAATAATAATAATAATAATACTAATAAACATAGGCAGTGCAACCCATAGAAAGCACATTATAATTTACAATAGGCCTATATTGTGTTTGTTTCAACAACACGAAAAATCACAAGAAGATACTGTATACCTACAAAAAGAAATTAAGCATTGAGTAATTAAAATGAAGGCTAGAGTGTCTATCGACATCATGCTCACAGAATTACTCGATATCGTATGAAATGAAGTGGACTGCTGCCAAAAGCTCATTGATTCTGCAATATACAATATCTGATATGTTATGTCTATTTCAATCAAAATTTCAGCCATAATTTTGCAACATTAAAGCATGAAAAATACCAATGAGCTATTATTTTTCGTCGTAGACAGGTAAGAATAGATAATTAAGTCTATAATGTGCTTAGTTACCAAATTAGATTCGATAGCGTTCGATTTTTTTTTCAAGCAATGACTCACTCTACTGTATCCCATCACATAGGTTGGAAAATACCTCCAAGTACGCTCTTATTTTGACGTCAGAAAATACATTTGACACAAGTTTCTGATACTGGCATCCGATCTACGAGTCTTAACGACAGAGGACGCTCTATCCGTTATCTAATTTATGTACAAAAGATGACGCATTATATAACTTCAGTCAATGCCTTTTTGAATACAGAAATCATTGTCCAATACGATAATTCAATTCATTTATTGACAGAGCTCAATGAAAAATATAGAACAAAACACAACTAAATAAAGATGAACCAATATTTTAAAACTAGTATAATCCTATAAAAATATCAATACTGTATATATGAAAACACATGCAATATTATTGTTATTAAATGTACAATTGACCTGCATTCAAAATGATTAGTTACATACAAATACTTATCTACAAAACAAATTACAACTATAAATTGGTCTATTAAACAGTTTAATATCAACAAATATATGTGATATAGACTTTAAAAATAGTAATATTTTGTCAGAAAGAAAAGGGGGGAAGTTGTAGGCCGTCGGTCCCATGATTTATGTGTAGTTTTACTATTAGTTACTGTCATTATCGTGGAGCTTCAGCAATTGAACTATTTTACGAATGTACCTGATGGGACAGAAATAAAAGGAATAAATCGTTTTGTTGTCTACTGTATTTTAATTGTAAAAGAATATTCCTCGTAAACTTACAAATCTTCATGAAAAACATAGTAGTAGGACCCCTAAAACATCGGTGAATCAACTGATTTCGTTTGATACTTATAAGCAAAGGTCCAAAGTTCCCCGACAACTGGTTCACCCCCATCCTCACCTAGCCACAGCATTTTAAAGAATTAGGCATCCCTGGAGCAAAACTGTAAAAATGCAAAACTGTAAAAAATCTAACTTTTTCCAAATTGTCATTCCTTGTTCTCCTCTATTTTGCTTTCCTAAATTCGCCACTGATAATGATGAATTAAGTAAATCACCTTTATGTTTGTGAAATCAAAATGCTAATTAATGTGTGCTTCCAATCTCCCTACTCATGTTTGATCGTAAATTAGACTGTATTATTTCCACTAATTGTAGTCGCAATAATACTTGCACAAAAGTGAAATTCAAAAAGAGGAAGAAAGGAAAACCTCTTGATTGATTTTAAAAGTAGGCCTATTGTACATGCAAAGAGACTAAATTAATGACTGTTTTAAGTTTAACTAACTTGTTTTCCATGGTTCGCAAGCTAATCAGTAGATAATAAATCATAATTTTTATGAATGTTAGCTTGCACGAAATAGGCCTATATAAGCGGGCATAATTATGATTACCAGGATAATTTGAAAAACATTATATGATGAGTATTTCAGTGGCAAATTTAAGGGGCCAGTCAGCCGGCCCACCCTCCCTCCGTAATTTTTGTTCAAAAGTTAAAAGTGGAGAAAAATGAAAATTATATTCAAACTTAGTCTGAGATTGCCATTTTCGGCCAAGCAGAGGTGCCATAATCATAAATTTTCTTACCTCAACCCCAACCCTGTTGGTGCTAAGGTGGTCTACACTCTCCATCTGTAAAACCCCTCCCTGGGCCCAGCTCTATTTAAAATTCCTGGATCCGCCAATGTATTTTGAAAATGTGGAAATGTTAATTGCATTCCTTAATATCAATTGATAGGCCTACGACTTATAAAAGGTTATAGGAGCCAGTGCTTCCTCACCGAGGCCCCGGAAGCCCCCTGGCCCCCACCAAGACTTGGGCCTACGGCCCAAGGTTTCTTATTTTGCATTTTGTCCCTCACCCCCACTTTCAACCACGGATCGACGCCCTTGCCTGAGGCGGTAAGGCAAGCCTGTTCATGATTGACGCTGCGAGTCTTACCCAGCGGTGGTGGACCTTTCCTGTCATTCGACACTATTTCTACCCCTCCTGTTATACTTCTACACTTTTGGAGTCCTTTGGAGGTCGATACTTACCCAACAGAACCATAATTATCATCATCAACATCATCATCATCATCATCATCATCATCATCATCGTCGTCGTCGTCGTCGTCATCATCATCATCATATTATTTTTGCAGTTTTAGGTCAAGTAGTAAAGCCCCGTAAAAAAAATATTAGTTTATCACCCGCTCCCTCATCACTTTTGGGGAAAATCAGTTTTTTTTTTTGTTTTTTTTTTTTCAATCAACATATATTTTTATTTCAAACGGTTTTCCATCTTTTTTCACTTGAAAATGTCATGGTTTCTTGCAAATATGTTTACTGGTACAACAAAAACATCTTTTTTAAATATAAATTTGATTCCACTCTTATGACTTTTTATATATGTGTCCCTAACCATTGATTTACTTTACTTGATAGGGTGATGATAAACTAATATTTTTAAGGGGCCTAAGCTGGAAGAAAGTTTTAGACAGTGCCCATTAATGGAAGGATTTTAATACTGAATGGAAGTCCTTGGCTTAATTGCTTAACCGTTTTTCTTCGATTGTCGCTTCCAACCGTCTAGGTGCGTCTTTGTGACTTGACATTGCTTTACGGAAGTTCAAGAGTGTATATTTTATAAATAATTAAATTTAAAGTACAATTTCTTAGCAAGGTTACAATGGTGATAATTCTAATCATGTTTGGCATGAGGATAGTGATGATGATGATGATGAGGATAAGGGTGATGATGAGGATGAAGATGATGGTGGCGTGGCGGTGGTGATAGGTAATGAATCATCAGTCAGTGAATCGATCAATCATTCTGATATGATAAGCAGGTGTCCTGATTAATTGAAAGCTAATCCGTTCACTGGTTATCATTCTGTCTCTTATACACATCTCGTTTGGAATGGAGGTTGGTTCAAACCATTGGTCCGACGTTGGTTAGAGGTTGTAATTAAGATGTGATTATACGATATATGATATCCGACGTCGGTAAACGTTAGTTTTTTTTTTGCTGATAGCCAAATTGTTAATAAGTTACAGAATAAGACCAAAATAATCACTACAATAAGACGCCATTTATTAAACGAATACATGGTAAGAAAGTGCTCCATCGTAAATGTTATGCTGTTGTTAATGTTTTACTGCTTTTAATTGGCTCTCGGCAAACAGGGTTTCGCCAAAATTAAATGGTTTTTGATCGGCAAACTAGTGGAATTATAAAGTGGGTTTCGACATTCTGGCCTAGATGCCCCTAGATCCGTCAAAAAGCCTAAATATGGCGGGGACAATTTAACGACGTTGTTAGTTATAGTGTTTAAAATGGATACATACAGCTTGATTGTCCCGAATGAAATGGGTTTTAAATTGTGTGCTTTTTGGGTTTTTTTGTGCAAGTGAGAAGTGGAAAGGAAGGATCAGACTAAATTTTAAATTTTTATATTCTATTGTTTTTTTTTTTTTGTTTTTCTTTTACAATATTGGATTTAATTTTTTATCGGGCATTTGAAATTGAGTTGTTCAAGACTCTTTCTTGTTAATGTTAATTTATTTTTTTGTATTTTTAACAGACGGGCAAAACGACGAGTGCCACTAATACAAGTTATACTGCAGATAAACTGGATTAGTTATAGCGACCTCTGTTGGCGCGAGGGTCTATATCATTTCATCATTTGCCTGTACCCTCTTAGCCATTTAGGGATTTCTCCAATCAGCCATTTTATATCAGGAAGTCGACGAACACAGCCGAGCGAATCTTCGATTTCCGGGTTTTGGGTGGACCGATGTATGTAGTGTAGAGCATGATATGACAAGAGTAGCATTTATTTACCGTATACGACGTCTATTTAAACAACGTTCTATAGGTAAGACAATGTTTTCATGAATAGGCATTCTAGTAAAAAGGATAAAAATAAAAAATAAAATCTAAATTTTTGATAAAAACCACTTGTTTTGGTATGAGCATCTTTTTTGTGTATTTGATCAGCCTTCTTTTAATCCTAACTAGGCCTAGGCCAGGGCTTAGGCCTAGACTAGGGTTGGCCATTCGTTACGACGCTAGCTAGGCCTTGGTAGTATGGATTGTAACTTTCAATGCATATGCAAGAAGGTGATCTTGAACCTATTGAATGAAATTTTGCTTTGTATATTATGGTTTAGTATTATAGGGTGTGACCTACCATTTGGTTGATATATTCAGTGAACTGATGAAGCATTTTGCCAGTCGCATTTCTTTCTAATCTTGTTCAATTGTTTGTAAACAAGACTTCAAAGGGGTGCCTGGACAGACAGGTCTGTAGGCCTAGAGTTGCCTAGGCTAGACCGCAGTAGACCTTAGCCTAGGCTAGGTAGGTCTAGCCATGAAGGTCAACATCATAGGCAACATCACTAACAAGCCAGTCTTGTTATTTATTATATATTTAAACACTTTTTAATAATTAAGACACAGTCACATTCCTAATTAAATTACTGTTCACCTTGGTTACTTTTCCAACAATTTTGCGCAAATTGACTTTGCTGATTTTGGAGCTGTGCATTACAGCATTGTCGTAACTAGCCCAAATGGTACTTACCTAATAGGTTTGTGCTTCCCATCTGGCTACCCTATATGTTGACTCATTGAGTCCACGGCTTGAATAGACCGATTTGGCGTTGTTTGCTTACAGCTGGCCACGTGACGTACAGTAGGTATAACCATAGAAATCGATGCAGTACAATTTTGTTATGGCTGCGAAAACAACCACTACTGTTAACATGAGAAATAAATGGCAAGGAAAGTCAGTACGATTGAATTAGTGTTTATTTACTTATTCTAGCATTCTTCTTGCATTGATTGCTTTAAAGACTCCTGTGCATACCTGAACAGGCCATAGATATACAGGAGCTTAGGCTTAAAATTTGTCGAAAAATTTAAAATGTTTTGTGCCAGTATCCTTTGGAACATTAACAAACCATTTAAAGCAAAATTTCAATTTCCAATCAATTTGGTATATTTTACTGGCGTCCCAACCAAGATTATTCATCATCTACGGCACAGGGTGCTGTTGCTACCGATGCACCGGGACATATGTTTTTCTTTATTATGACCAATATTTGCTGTTGTTATCCCTAATTGCCTTGGATGACCAGTCACAAAAGTTAATGATCTTTACAGCAATAACAAGGCCGCCATAGCAATCTATGCACACTCTGCTCTGCCAGTCCATTGTTTACATCTAACACCAAAGTTAGGTCACATGATGTCCATCATTGTATTGGTCTATGACTTAACATTATACTTAATTTCACTGAATTATTAGGATATCAAGAGTGACAAGATACATTTTTTTTTTTATTTGATTGTAATTAAATATTAATTAGTTACTTTTACTGTACATAAACATTTTTATAGGACAGGCATTCATGTAATAAATTTGATTAATTGATAGATTGATTGATTGAAGTGGGGATCAGTGCATTTGGAGAAGTATGGTAGTTGGTACTATCTCATAATAATTATTAATAAATGTACTTACTTGCTTTTTATTCATTTTTAGTTCCTATGCATGTAATGCAATAGGAACTATTGTAATCAATTTCACTGTTTTCCTTTGTGTTTTATTGTGTGTAGTATGTGTGTGCGTATGTGTGATATATATATACGTATATATGTATGTATAAGTACATATATATACACGTATATATATAGGGAATATATATTTTTTTAAGTCGTGTATCATGCATAGGAACGTTGACGCCTGCAAGGCTCTTGTCATGTAAGTTCCTTACAATTTAAACGCGTGCGTCTATACATATATATATATAAATACATGTATACGTATATATATATACGTGTATATATATATACGTATATATGTATGTATAAGTACATATATATACACGTATATATATAGGGAATATATATTTTTTTAAGTCGTGTATCATGCATAGGAACGTTGACGCCTGCAAGGCTCTTGTCATGTAAGTTCCTTACAATTTAAACGCGTGCGTCTATACATATATATATATAAATACATGTATACGTATATATATATACGTGTATATATATATACGTATATATGTATGTATAAGTACATATATATACACGTATATATATAGGGAATATATATTTTTTTAAGTCGTGTATCATGCATAGGAACGTTGACGCCTGCAAGGCTCTTGTCATGTAAGTTCCTTACAATTTAAACGCGTGCGTCTATACATATATATATATAAATACATGTATACGTATATATATATACGTGTATATATATATACGTATATATGTATGTATAAGTACATATATATACACGTATATATATAGGGAATATATATTTTTTTAAGTCGTGTATCATGCATAGGAACGTTGACGCCTGCAAGGCTCTTGTCATGTAAGTTCCTTACAATTTAAACGCGTGCGTCTATACATATATATATATAAATACATGTATACGTATATATATATACGTGTATATATATATACGTATATATGTATGTATAAGTACATATATATACACGTATATATATTAGGGCCTATATACTTTTTAAGTCGTGTATCATGCATAGGAACATTGATGCCTGCAAGGCTCTGGTTTATTCAAGTTCTGTCGGCATTAGACAAAAACAAAAATAAAAACAACAATAAATACCAATGAAGAGAGTGATTAACAGGCAGAAATACACCTCTGTAACAACCAATCCCCTATTGAAGATAATCTATAAACTAATAAACAAAAACATTCAAAATAAATAATATTATGTAAAATATAATGAAATATGAAAATTCAATTAAAACAACTTTCCACACTGCATCTAGTTCATCAACCTTAGGAAAACCATGTGCACACATTTTCAATTGCAAAATTAGATTCAAACTAATTTTCTTCACTTTTTGCTAAAGGCATTTTGCTCTTTTGGGTAGCCATTTTCAGATGGCCACTTTCCAAGTTAAAAGTTCAATTAATTTTTTCAGTACAGATGGGCTGTGTGGTTCTAGTTCATAATGATGATGTGAATGTAATTGGTTCTGTTTGTTTTGCATGGTTTGGGAATTTTTATACTGTATTCTTCAGTTAATAGTATTTTGGTTATTTCCTGGTCTAGCTGTTTTTATTGCTTAATTTTAATTTAACCGACCTGTGGCTGTTTGCATTGGATTTTTCAGGCCGGTCAAAGTAGCTTTTACTTTTTTATGGAACATAAAAATCACCAGATTAGTTTCAATTTTACCAACTACATAGTGATCCAATTGGAAATTTACTGTATTTAAACTTTCTATTGTTTTATGAAACATAAAAATCTCCAGATTCAGTTTTTTTCAAAATTTTAGTTGTGGTGGTGTAGTGACATGACACTATGCAAGGATTGTTTTGCTTGGGCTGGGTGCTGGGTGGGATCGCAATTTCTATGTAGCCCTATATTTTGGTTTGGGAGTTACAGTAGCTTGGTGTATTTATTTTATTTCAAAGACCTTCATCTAAAAAAATTATAGGAGAAGCTCTATTGCCTCTCCTCAGAATACCTATTTTCTGCACATCTCAATGACAAAATCGGCCTATTTCAACAACATTTTGAAGACATCACCAAAATAATGATTATACAGTAAATTTGAGAAAGTAGAAATAAATTTCTTAAGCCTCAATCGCACTGGATTAAATTTTGGGAATATGTAACCGTCATCACGGTAAACATTTCTAGGCTAAATGTTACCGTTAATCACACTTTTCAGCTCGGTTAGTTTTCCCGAGTAGTGTAAAATTAACTATTGAGGGCGGTACATTTTGACCCGTAACACAACCTGTACTGACATGACCTACAGCCTTCTGATCCCTTGATCTGTTTCGCGTGCTGATTTGCACTTACTTTCTTGCTAGTTCTTACCGAAATCGTTGGAAAAAGAAAATGGCTGAAAAAAGCAAAGAAACGCAGAAAAAAGTTGAAAGTGGAAAGAAGAGACGTAACTACTATTTAAGGGAAAGTAACACGTTAGAAAATAATGGTTTCTGATCAACTAGTCGAATAGTACGATATTCGTACGATCAATACAGCACAGTAGTATAAAATTTGCGCGAAAAAGGTCACCCAATGAACAATGAGGCTCGGGATTCGGTTAATTTAACCGACCTGTGGCTGTTCGCATTGGATTTTTCAGGCCTGTCAAGTAGCTCGGTAGGAATTCCTGAGTAAATTTCACCTTCGAAAACTAACCGGCGGCGACAGACAAGTTAACCGAGCGGGACTATCCGCACTGGATTTTTTCAGTCAAACTTACCGACAAGACGGTTAATTTTTACTGAAATAAATCCAGTGCAATTGAGGCTTAAATCTAATATTTAAATGTAAGTCAATGTTACATGTTTTGCCTAAGTATAAAATCGAGTTTGCCTGCAATGCCTACCTGCACATGGCTACGGGTACAGTAGTTAACTTGCATTATGTTTCTAGGCTATGCAGATGCATCTTTGTCTAGTCTAGTGTAAATTATACTCTACATCCTCCGAATCAAGAGACGTACTGTATACTGTATTTTGTTGACTATTAAAATTTAATTTGTGATTAAAAACAAATCTGCTTTATTTTATGAATTAATTATGATCAGGGAGCGAACAAGACCGCTATTTTGTATGTTATATGTGAGAAACAGGGAGCCGAATCTCAAGTATTTGCATGCAAGAATCTTCCCATGTGTATGCTTTCCAAGTGCTGGTATGGTAGTGGGCGATTTAGAACTGCCATTTTCAAGAGGGTATTACTAATACTATGAATATGTTTTTACTACTATTAATATGCGTGTTGTGAGTGTAATTTTCACTAGGTAGACTGGGTTAGCCTTACCTTTTTGGGAATTTCCACCGAATGTCGGTATGAAAAAATACATGTCTTGCAT